ATATATAGTAGTTTGGATCTGCTAATTCTAAACTCCTAATTTATCCTTCCTCCCCCTTTCCCCTTTGGTAATCATAGGTTTGTTTTCAATGTCTGTGAATGTGTTTCTGTTTTGTAAATAAGTTAATTTGTGTCATTTTTTTTTTTAGATTCCACATATAAGTGATGTCATATAATATTTGTCTTTCTGTGTCTGACTTTCTTCACTTAGTATGATAATCTCCAGGTCCATGCAAGATTTATTAGAATCTGTATTCTATTTATTAAAATACCTATTGGGAAGAGTTAAGTAATGGCAAATGCGTTGTTATTCAGATTTGGTAAGATTAAAGAATATATATTTCACATACTGTAATAAGGTGGCCCTGGGAATAATAAGGATTTGTTTTTAAGAGTAGGGATAAATACAGTGCAAATAAACAATTTATGAAAAGATAGCAAGGCTGCTGTCTCCTTTATTTTTGCTATTTACATTATATTTATGGTTTACTCTGTATTTCAGAGATATGGTTTGAAAATTGTATCTGAAAGATCCCATGTAGTATGTGAGGGTTGTGGGTGGAAATGGATGTGTGAGTCTCTGGATCCCCTAGTCAGTTCAATCAGAACAGCGTCCCTTCAGTGTGTCTTATAAGTTGGATTTCTATCTAACGTGTTTTTGAGAGGAAAGGGAAAGGTTCCTCAGCAAAAACATTTGAAATATATTAGATGAAACTTTGCTCAAAGAATGACGCTAACTCATTAATGAGTTTGGGATGGTAACTTATTTATAAAACACAACTTACAGACTTATATATTTTGGAGTGTATTTGAATATACCATATAAAAAAGTAAACAGTCTTAGAGGTTATGGTCTAAGAATAGCCCTAGAAAAACTAGATATAGTGATAAATCCAACTGTGACTAAGGCACTGTCCCTCCTTTCTGTAAGAATAAGAATTTCAGGATGAGGAAACTGAAAGCTGGTCTCCTAATAGAGGAATAGGGATTCTCAGTCCTACTGAATCTTGAGAATTGGCCTCGATTTACTATTAAAGATCAGTTCATATTGCTTCCAGAGTAGAATTGATTTAGCACTTATATTATTTGCCTCCTAAAAGAGCACATTTGTTGGAAATTTCTTTAGTTTAGAAAAGTTAGAATGTGAAAGAGAGCTTGTGAGTTTTTTTGTTCTTTCTTATTTTAATTAATTCAACCAATATTCATTTGAGCACCTACTGCTATGATCCAGACAGTTCCAAGTGCTTAGAGGTATAGCAGTGGGTTCATTCATCAGAAACTACTTTTGTTTTGAAATCTAATCCTTCTGCTTCTGGGTGAAATGATGTTTACTTTTCTCTGCTCTTGTTTTACATATTGGCAGTCCGTACATTTTAGTATATACTATTCTCTGATTTTTTAGTTCATCCTGTTAGTTTTAATGTCCTGGTGAGTGTGTTTTTCACCTGAGGATAAGGACCCCATCTTGTGCTTCCTTTAGAGTCCTCATGGGGCCCAAGTACAGAGCTAAATATAAATACCAGAGGAGGTATTCTGAGCTTTGTTGGTTTATCTCGTATTAGAGCTTAGCTTGTTACTTTTAATTGTGTGGGTGGATAGTCCTATGCACAGATTTTATTGCCTGTCCTGTCTACACCTATGAAAGATTTGATATTTCTTATTCTATTTCTAATATGGTACAAAATATTAAGAACTTGAATATTTCAGTAATGCAGCTTATTTAAAGACATTGGAAAATACTCAAAATGAGACAGCAGGTTAAAGCATTTTACCAAATGGTATGTTTAATTTGATCCCAATTTATTGTATCTGCATAAGAAAATTCTGAAAGAATGCATGCCAAAATAATAGTGGTTATTTTAAAAAAATTTCCACCCTGCCACCCAAATTTCTACGACTAAACATGGTATTAAAGTCAGAGGGAAAATCCATATAAAACATTTTTACCTCTTGAGTATTTTTTTCTTTTTCCATTCCTGTGAAGTTGGTTATTTTAGTGATGAGGCCCACCCCACCCACCCCCACTGAAAGCACGTTTCTATTGAGAAATAATATGGACGCTATTATCCAGGGTGCTGATTTTGAAGACGCTTTAGCTCTCTTGGTCATAATTCAGCAGCTAAAAACTCATTTGCAAACTTCCCTGTGTTCTGCTTATCTCTCTGAAAGGTGTTAAGAAGAATGCTGAACTATCAAGGCCTCCAGCAAGTGAAAATCATAGCGAGCGATAACCTCTGGGAGCCCATTTCTGCTTCTATGCTGCATGACCCCGAGCTCTTGGAGGTGATTGATGTTATAGGGTAAGGAGTAACTTGCTTTGAAACTAACAGTTTCTGATTGCTTGCTCTGGATACCGACTGTTCCTTGGTTTTTGACTTGTCCCCATTTGATTGTATTTTTAGAAGGTGGCTTTCTCGTATTTACTTAACTAAAGCATGTATAAATTATATGTCATTCATTTTCCTTGGAACTGTTATGCATTTTGGTATCTTTCTATGACAGTGTAATGTATTGGTAACTTTTAAAATACTGTGTTAATGTTTGGAGTAATAAAAACATGGCTTTGCTTAGATCAAGGGATAGAGTAGCATTGACATTTTAGAAATGATAAAGGCAGTGTCGTGAAATTAGTTCCCAACCCTCAGACTTCCCTGTGCTTGGGAGTTCTCTCGTGAACACTTATGTACATGGTATGGTGTGATCCCTGACCAGGGCTTCTGTCACATATCCTTGGCAGTATGGCTCTGACACTGCTGCTTAGTCTAATCCTGCCGTTCAGCCCTCTAGGCCTTGACCTTATTGAGTTCCAGTATTGTTATTATTTTTTGAATGAGTTTGAATTTTATCTATCATGACAACATACATAAACAGACAGCATATATAAACATTTGAAAAATAGAAGACATGTGTATGTGGAGTTTGTTCTTTATTTTGTGTGAAGACTGCTTGATCTATGTGTACATTTATTTTTATGAAGAATTTTGAACATTCACAAAGTAGGCAGAGCAACATGGTGGATATCCATGTTCCCATCACTCAACCTCCGTAACTGTGAGCCTGAAGACAGTTCTCCATCTACACGTCTGTCTAGTCCTCTATTCTTCCTCCCCACATGATTTCTGAAGCAAATCCCAGACTTTATATTATTTCTTCCATAAAAATTTTTACCACGAATCTCTAAAGACAAGAACTCTTTCTTTTTACAATAACAAAACCATTATTAATCTAAAAATGAGATATTTTCTTGATATCATCAAATATCTGTTGTTATTTTATGCTTTTATTTGATTCAATTTGGATCCAATTTGGAGTCATACACTGATTAGTTGATACTTAAGTCTCTTCTAATTTTTTGATTCTTGCTCCATTTTTTTCTCTTTTATTTGTTGAAGAAACTGGATTGTCTGTCATGTAAAGCTTCTCACAGTCTGCATTTTACAGATTTCATCCTTGTAGTTTAGTTTAACATGCCTCTCTCTCCTGTTTCTTTTTGAAAATTGATAAAAGCATGGTTAGACTAGATTCAGGCTTAACTTTTTTTTTTTTTTTTGCAAGAAAAATAAAATATATTTAAACATCTCATACATTGAAATTAGTGTATAATTTTTGCCCTTATTGTTAAAACTTTCATAAATAGCTCAAATCTTGAAGGGAAAAAAATTGTGTTGATCTTGAATATATATGACTAGGAAAAATATTTAAATGAAAGTACAGGTTTTACTATATCTTCAGTAATAAGTTAGATGCTTAATTCATTTTATCTTTATTGATGTGGGTATCTTATGCAAACCATTTATATTTATTGATGTAAGTGAAGGATTTGTTTTCTATTCTGCTATACTGTCTTATGTTGTTTAAAGATTTGTGCTATATATACACAAATACAAAATCCTTCGCTATGTGATTTATTTTCTTTGCTCTTTTTAAAGGAGATACTTTTTTTGTTATTTAGCAAGATTTGATTTTGGTTCTGTTGATTACATTTATTTTGATACCTTTATGCCAGTGGTTCCCAGCTGGGGAGAATTTTGCCTCCTATAAGACATTTGGCAATGTCGGAAGATATTTATGATTGTCACTGGTGTAGGTGCTACTGGCACCTGATGGACGGAGGCCAGGAATGCTTCTGAACATCCTCCAGTGCACAGGACAACTCCCCCACAACAAGGAATTATCCAGCCAAAATGTCGATAGTGCTGAAGTTGAGATCCGCTTTATGCTAGGACTTTCGTTTCCCTCTCTATTTACATATTGTCTGTTGGTTTACTATAATTAATACTAAAATTATTTTATAATGTCTTATTCCTCCCCTTCTCTCTCCTACAATGTAATTTTAATTACCAGAGTTTCTTAATCTTTGTACTCTTAACATGAGCTTAAGCTTGAACTATCTTGATTTGTCAGCTACAAGATGTAACCTTTTACTCCCAGCCAATTGGCAAACTCACCTTTCACTTTCCTCCTTTTATTTTGTTTCAGCTCTATTAGTTACACATTGTCAGAATATATAATATTTATGTACTATTTAATTGCTCTTTTAGTCCAGTTCTACCATTAAGTGTATTCAATGCTCACCTTCAAGTCTTTTGCTGAAGTATCTCCCTTAGTTTCTTGGGTCCCAGAAAGCTTACTATCTACTATGTTTATCAGGAAGTGCTTATGAAAACAGTATTTCTTGATCTTTCACATGTTTATTACTGTTTATCTGTGGCCTTTATACTTGAAGGACAGTTTGGCTCGATATAAAATCCTTAACTCACATTTTCTTAATTCTTGAGTATCATAAAATTTGCTCCACTGATTTCTTACATAAAATGTTGCTGTTGAGAATTCTGATACCAGACTTACTTTCCTTTGCTTATAAATGACTTGGCATAATTCCTGTATGGCCAACAGATGTTTTTTTCTTAACTTCAAAGGCTAGTAGTTTTACATTATTTACCATTTCCTGGTACATGGTATATGCCCTTTTAATATCTATATTTAAATATTATTTCAATAAGTTTTAGTTAAATTTTAATTTAAATAATTATCCTGCTCCATTACTTTGATTTTCTTTTTAGAAGCCCTAGTTACACATGTTGGATCTCCTTTGCATGTTGTCTTTATTCTGTATTTTTCTCAATTCTTTTTTATCTCCTTATTTCTGGTTGCTTTTACATAATTTTATCCTTACTGTCCTCTGTTTCCTTTATTGTGCTTTCTACAGTGTTTATTCTGTTTTGTGTTCCTTCTACTTTAGTCTTCATTTCTAAAAAGCTTTTTCTTCTTTTTTAATAAATATTCTGTAAGTCTCATATTTTAGTTTCACGTACCTCTGTTGTCTAATAATTTCGATTTGTTAAAAATTTTAATTGAATATTATACATACACATATACATAGATACTTGTTACTGAACCAGGTTTGTTTTGCACAGTATACAGCAAGCAAAAATGCTGAGATACTGAGGTTTGTTGCAAAGAGAGGGTTTATTTGCAAGGCAGCCAAGTGAGAAGATGGGAAAACAAATCTCAGATCCACCTTCCTAAAGACAAGGGACTTAGGATATTTAAGGGGTAGAGAATAAAGAAGCAAGGCGGTTTGAGGTGTGGGGAGTGTGAGGGAAGGAGATTAGAAAAAGGTGCAGTAATTGTCGCTCTGCCTAGGTGTAACTACGGTATAGACCTTTGCACGTTCCAAAGGTCATCAAGGGGACACTCATGAATGCCGAGTGGTAGTCCCATCCATTCTTAACCAGCTCAGTTCAGATTAGACACAGCTGACTCTTGGCTCAGCTCAAAAAAGATGTAGCCAACTCCGAGTGCCTGGAAAACAACTTGGACATACATCTATTATTCAGGCCACTTGCTGCGTGGAGGACATGCAAGTCTTTGGTAGCAAAAATTAAAATGACCTTGATTAGTGAAGGCAAGTTACAGAACCTACTCATACCCCTAACATCTAGAGATCATTGGGAACATAATAGCATATTACTTTCGAGGGTTTTATTTATTTTTTTAAAACAAATGTATTTTAGCCATAGACATACTGAACGTATATTTAGGTGAGTGACAAGATGAATTTGAAAATTAGTATTTGCTTGAGGCATCAAAGCTTCATATCATGATTATGGAATGAAGTTCTGGGATATATGAATGAATCTAAAATGTAAAAATTTATTGAAATTATATAATTACAAAAATTAGTAGTCAGAGTTTCCTAGTGCTGAGAATTATAGTGCTGGAAGAATAATTTCTTAATTCTGTTAGGTGCTAGCTTGCTCTTGAGGTCTCTGTGGTGTATTTTTATATTACTGAAAAGATGCCTATTTTCAAATGAGTGTAGTTACTCAACAGAATCTTAATGGAACCTCATTTTTCTCTAATGCTTCATTTTATTTTGTTTATTGTACATTCTTTTCTTCCTCATGAAATCCTGGAATGCCAGACTAACGTACCTTCTTCATGTTTACCAGGTATAATGAATTCCCAAACAGGGCTTTTTCTTAAAATGTTCATGACCTAAATAAAATTAAATAACTAAAAACTAAAACAGGCCTTTACAGTCTTTCTTCTAATGTTGTGAATACTGCTACACCGAACTAGGAAGATTAGAATTGTAATATAATGCAATCTCCATTATTCTGCATATATTATCATTAAATATAATTTTTGTAAATAATTCTTGGCCTAAATGGTATACGCTCTTGTCCCTAAAGTTGCTTAGCTAATGTGCCGTCTTACTCTTGTATTAACTGTCAGTCTATTTTCTGTTTTACATTTGAAATCTCATAATTGTTTTTAGTCAATAATCAGCCTCCACAATCATCATTACAGCAGTATTTTACTCTTGGAATAATAAATGTACATTTATACTTCAACTGACTGGACTTCCCACAAATGCTAGAATAAGGGAGGGACTCATTACTCTGGGGCGAGGTTTCTCAGCCTCTGCTCTGTTGATATTTTCGCTGGGTCATTCTTTGTTGTGAGGACCTGTCCTCGGCGTTGTAGGATGTTTAGCAGTGTCTTCTGGCCTTTGCTCACTGGGTGCCGGTAGCAAATCCTGTCCTGCCCTGTCTTCTCCTCCAGGCAGACTCGCCCAGGTTGAGAACCACCACTGCTCTGGGATAATAACTTCTAGTTTTTTCCCAAAGTGGTTTATTCTTTTCAGTTAAGGAAGAATTCTCTGGGGGTTTTTGTTGTTTTTGTTTTAGTGTTTTTGTTTTTGCCTGGGAATAAATGCCAAGCTCTCTTTCTCTCTGTCTACTAGGGGTGGGAACAGGGGACGAGACACTACTTTATATAAAAGACTCCTTGTCTTATTTTTGGCTTCCTTCTTACTCCTTCTTTCCTACTGTCCCAAGCTCTCTGCTTCCTCTGGGAAGTCTGTATTTTGTCTCCACTTCATTCATCTTGGAATGTTCTAGGTTGTGGCCTCCTCTGCTGCCTCCCCCGTCACTTCTTCCCTCCGTATTGTTTCCAGAAGCAAATTCTCTTCCACTGATGATCTTCCTTCCTGTTCTGTGTGTTGTTATAGGCTTATCTCATTCTAAGGGCATCCTGAGACACAAGGACGGGGAGCAGAGGCTTACAGTCAGTCTGACATCCATCTGGAAGCTGCCTATTGTTTTAAAAAGAAAACATGCATTTTTTATTCACTCAACAAATAGATGTAAGTGCCATGTTCTGACCTTTTGACATTTCCTCTCACCCTTTCTTTTCTAGAGCTCACTACCCTGGAACCCATACAGTAAAGGATGCGAGGCTGACTAAGAAGAAGCTTTGGTCTTCTGAAGATTTTAGCACTTCAAATAATGATGTGGGTGCTGGCTGCTGGGGTCGCATACTGAATCAGAATTATATCAATGGTTACATGACTGCGTAAGTTTTTAAAAACTCTTAAAGGTTTTTATTTTGAAAAATTTCAAAAGACAGTAAGTAGAAAAAGAATACAATGGATTTCCATATTCTCACAACCTAGATTCAGTGATTATAAACATTTGTCTTATTTTCTTCATCTATCCTGGTATTGACACCTAAGCTGTATCAACCAAAAAAAAAAAATTAAGCAGCGCAAGTAAGAATAGAGCTTATTTGGGGTGTAAAGACTTGCAATTTGGGAGACACAGATTCCGGTAACCTTGAAAGAGTGTTTCAAGGAAGAGAGAGTCAGGGGCTTATAAGGACAAAAAGCCATGAGGCTGTTTAACGTTGCTTGGCAATAATTGTGATTGACTCTGATATGAGTCAGAAAAAATCTGTCCTTAAGGAATCACAGGTTTTAGGACAGGGGTCCCATAAGTAGTAGATGGACTGTCATGGTTATTTTAGGGTAAATGCCCAGTAAGTATCTTGAGTTTCTGGCAGGTGTTCTGGATGATTTCACAGGTCAAAAGGTCAGATCCCATCCAGGCCTATACGTGTATAAGTCACACTTCCTTAGTAACCTTCTGGCTCCATTTTAGGGAGTCCTCTTGGCAACACCAACTCCATTTTGACTTTTCTTTCACAGCTGTATCTATCTATTCTTCTATATTTCAATATAGTCTGTATTGAATGAAGTCCTACTTTTGAGATATTACTTATGTAGAGTAAAATTCATGTAGTTCTGTTATTTTAGACAAGCTGTATATATATTTATTTTAGTGAATAATTATAAAGTAAATTATAGATAATTTGACCCTTCACCTCTAAATATTTTAGCATGTGTCTCCGATTTTAGATTATCCAAAAGGATATTCACCTACATGATCACAATATCGCTTGAAATTTAAAAGCATAGGAGCATTTAAAAAATATTTCCAATACTCAGTCTATATTTAAATTTTCCTAAATGTCTCCAAAAATGTCATTTATAGTTTTTTTTTTTAAAGCTAAGAACCAGTACAGCACCATGCATTGCATTTAGATGTCATGCCCCACAAATCTCTTTTAATCTAGAATAATTGCCTTTCTTCTTTCTTTACGACAGTGACCTTTTGAAAAGACAGGCAAATTGTCTTGTGGATTATCTACTTCCCAAGCTGCCTGATTAACTCCTCACAGCATCACTTCATTTGTGTTACTGTCTGTTTACAAAACAGAGGTTTTAAGGGAGAACACACTCTTTCTCAGGAAAGCATTTTTTAAATGCTTTGAGAAGCTTTAGTTGTAATTAGATTCAAATTACCTTTCTAAAACAATGATAAATAGAACAAAAGCAGCCAATACATACTTTTGTGATGCTAATGTGAGCTGACACAGTCTTCTTACAGCCTTTGGTCTTTTTTTTTTCTTTTTTTAAAGAAAAGATGCTTATTGTGGAGAGTTTGGTTCTCATCATTTAATTTGGTATTAAGAGTAATACACACTCATGGCAGAGAATTTCGTAACTGTGTATAGGTGCAAAAAAGGAAACAATGTCACCGAAAATCTTGCCATGTGTGAAGTAGTAGTCCTAAAAAATTTTGGTGTATGTCCTCCCATTTATATTGCTATGTGTAAAATCTTAATTCATAATTGACCCTGTACTACATAATGTTTAGTTAGTAAGCTGTTTTTCACTTAACAAGGTATTATGAACTTTTCTCCTCTTATTTTATAGATAAATATGTATACTTCCTCTATTTCATCATTTTGAATGCTTATATGTATTTCATTACTTAAAGCAGAATTTCACAGTTTGCCTTGTTTTAAGAAGTACCTGAGATACCTGTGTATATTGATTCCTTGGCAACTGCCCAGACCTATCAATCTGAACCTCCAGGGAAGGATGCTTGGACTCTGTTTAGTCAGTGCCCGCAGTGATGCTGACGCCACACGAATTTGGGAAACGCTGATGTAGACATTACACCATACCTCGCTGATATCCTCCTCTTCCTGGAGATGGAAGTTGTTCTGTTTTAATGAACAGCTTTGCATACCCTGAAATGATGGATTATATACAAATATCTCTGAGTACATCTATGATTATTTCCTTAGGGTACATTCTCAGAAATAGAATGAATGTCTGGGTCAGGAGTATATAGACTTTATGGGGGAAATCATTAGGTCTATTTAATTATTTATTACTAGTTTTCTTTCTTTTTTTTTGAATGGAGATACTGGGGGTTGAACCCAGGACCTCGTGCATGCTAAGCATGCGCTCTACCATTTCAGCTATACCCTTCCCTCTTGTCTATAGGTATATAGACTTGAAAGGCTTTTGTATTACTGCAAAATGCTCTCTAGATATTTTGTTTTAATTTATACTTCTATCAATAGCCAGAGTAGACTCCATGCATCTTCCAATCCATGGCTAAAATCATGAGAACTTTAAAATTTTTCACTGGTAGGAAGGATTTTTGAAAATTGGGTTTATGTTTTGTGTTGACAGAATTAGAAGGCTTTGATTTTCTAAGAATGCCGGTCTGTCATTTTATGCTGGGTGAGGACTTATAAGATAAGAAAAATAAAATTCTATAGGTAAACTCTGTTTTTTGTTTTTTCTTCAAACTTTGAGGAACTCTGCAGTACCAGGATCCAGAGCTTACCTTTTGCCCTTGGATTTTCCTGAGAACCGGAGAGTCATAATCTTAGGGTTCAGCACCAGCTGTGCACACTTGAAAGAATGGACCAAAATTCAGAGCAGCAGGCTGATCCAATTAGCACTTGTAGGTGAAACAGAATCACAGCAGTGCTACAGCCCAGACCTTGTTCTGCCCTCTTCATGGGCATAGTACATTTCATCCTTACAGCAGTCACATGAGATAGGTACAGTTACTACTCTCATTTTACAGGTGAGGAAACTGAGGTCCAGAGAGGTTAAGTGGTGGAACCACTGTTACCCGAAAACTGGATTAGCCTCTTGGTGGGTGTCAAGCCACAAGACACAACCAAGCCAAGCCAAAGAGTGGGAGAAAGGAGGATTTATTACTTTTAGCAAGTATGGAGAACACCAGGGATCTTTTCCAAGGCAGTGTCTCCCCAAACAGCAAAATTGGGGAAGTTTAAACTAAAGGTTCATGCATATTCATAAAGGGGCAAGAGTTCCTGCATATTCATGAAGGGGCTTGAGCAGAGGAGAATTTAGCATAGAACTGGGGACAATTGACAGAGTCCAGGTTTTAGTTAATTAAAGTCCTAAGGGTCAGCAAAGGTCAGCATCATAATTTCTTAGGTTCCAGTTAGTCTGGTGGTTGAGTTTACGAGAGAGTTTGGATCTTGCAAAACAGCTCAAGAATGTGCTTCAGGATAAGCTTTACCTTGGAAACAGAACTGGGAGTCTTCACAACTAATATATTATCTCTGATACAGTTATGTCCCTGGCCTGATGATAGCTGTTTGTTCTTACATTCCTCTATTCCCTGAAAATCAGTAACTGCTGAGACCTGTTCTGCAAGGGCAGCATTGTGGCCAAGTGTAGGTCACAAAATGGCTTAGGCCTAAAATGGCTTCTCTTATGTCAAGAAAGTTATGTCTGGTTCTCTTCCTCTGGGGAGCCCCTACCCTCCTACCCTATCTGCCTACACCATCATTCGAATCCAGGCAGTCAGACTCTAAGAGTTCTCAATTTTAAAACTTTGCAACTTCTCAGAGTCAGGTTCATAAAATTATGTCATGAAACTGGAGCATTAAGAGGCTGACCATCAAAAGGGAAGCAGGTGTGGATAAAGCCTTTATTTGTATTTGACTAACCTTTGTGACATGTCTGGTACTGCTCGGGCATGATTTGTCTTCTGGTTACACCATTCCTCAGTGCAAATTGTACAGTTCATATACATTTGTACTGTACTTATATAATTTACCATTAAAAATATTTAGATGCATCCAGCAGTTTTGGGTGTTCATTTTTTGGTTATCTATCTATCTATCTATCCATCCATCTATATTTGTATAGACTCTGATAAGGTCTTTTTTACTATAGGCTTCTAGACATTTACATTTTTATTACAAGCTGCTTTGGTGTTTCTCTTTTATCATATGAATCTTTTAGCACAATTGCTTGGAATTTGGTGGCTAGTTACTATGAGCAGTTGCCATATGGACGTTGCGGACTGATGACTGCACAGGAGCCATGGAGCGGGCACTATGCTGTAGAAGCTCCTATCTGGATATCAGGTATGGTTAGGATTCCATCTCTCACTCCCTGAATTCCTCTCTAAGAGACAAAGCAGAAAACACTTAGAGGGGATTATACAAACAGTATGTGTGTGTGTGTGTGTGTGTTTGTTTGTTTCTTTGTGTTTGTGGTGGGGTATGTGTTTAAAGTGTGTCTCTAAGCAAGATTTTTCATAGTGTTTTGTAAGAATATTTTGGGTAACTAGAATACTTTCCGTATTCCATTCTTGATTATTCTAAGACCAGGCTCTTTTTTAGTTGATGTGTTTTTCTCAGAGATTTGTAGTCATGACATTTAATCATTATTCTAAACTCCTTAAATTGTTCCTTGAAAAATATGGAAATATTAAGTTGGACTTATGTATCCTATGGACCTATGTATCCTTAAATGTTGCAATAGTTGGTCCCACATTGTTAGATGAACTAAGGTGCTTTTGTAGTTCACTGGTTTTGGGGGTTAATTTTGTCACCTCTCAAAATGGGACATGGAATGTTGCTCAGTACATTTCCAGGGCCAGCTTTGGAGGTGTGTGATAAATACATATTGTGGAAATAAACTTGTTTGAAACCAGAAAGCATTTTTGAAATGCTTTGTTAACATTTTTAAGCTCTATTTTTTTGTAGTTAAATTAGGATAGGTTAAATAGAGATGAACAAGGATTGGGGTGGTATAACTTTATTTTAATCTTGGGAAAAAAGTTAAATCATGAAAAAAAGGTTTAATCAATATTCTTGAACTGGTAGAGTATGGTTCATTTATTTTTATTGGTCATTCTAAGACTCTTCCCATAATTGTACCATTTAACTGGACTAATTATTCAAAAGTTGAAACATGAGGTTGGCAAGTATTTTTCTCCAAAATAGAAAATAGCTGTTAGACTCAATCAGATCTGGGGTGGAAAATTTGTCCTTCTACCCTTCTAGGTTCCTTGGCTTATCTAATAATTAAATTGACATAAAGAGCAACAGGAGAAAAACAAATTTGATTTTGTATGTATGGAACTTTCATAAAAATCTAAGACTCAAAGGCAGTCAGGCAATTGAGGCTTATAGCCTTCTGAGCTATTGAATGGGATCAAGGCCTAGGGCTTCCAAGGGGAAGAAGATGGTTCACAGGAAGAGAAGAGCAGATGTTTGCCTTGCCATGAAGGTAAGTCTGTGAGAAAGTTATCTCTTGTAATAGCTCTCTTCCTAGGCCGGGTTTCCTATCTAAATTCTTTTAGGCAGTTAAGGGAGAGATAAAAGTTTTCCTTTGGACTGCTGGGCCTTGATTGTCATCAGCTCAAAATAATCTACATGCTAAAGTGGCACATTTTGGGGTGGCATATTCTGTTCTTTTTCAGACTCAGATCAGTAGACAGCTTTTTATTTTTTGAAGAAATTCTATTATCACCTACTGTAATCTTATTTTGGTCTTTCTCTGCTTTTCTGTAGCTCATACCACACAGTTTACTCAACCAGGTTGGTATTACCTGAAGACAGTTGGCCATTTAGAGAAAGGAGGAAGCTACGTAGCTCTGACAGATGGCTTAGGTAACCTTACCATCATCATTGAAACTATGGTAATTCTTTGTTGTTTTTATTGGATTAATTCACTTTGTCAGTGTTGGAAAAATGGCATAAAACACAACTGAACACCTTTCTTAAAAAAAAAACAGCTTTACTAAAATTTAATTAACATATAATAAAAAACATGGAAGGGAGGAAGAAACCTTTTCTTATACCCTCTTGGGTTCAGTAGCTGGGACCCCACAAATTAAACTGACAAAAAACAGATTAACAGGAAAGAAAACAGTTAATTTGTGCTTGCAATATGCATACCTGTGGGAGAAACTCAGTGATGAGTAACTCAAAACGATTAGAGTTTTGGTTTATATACCTAGCTTAGTGGGCAGGGGGGAAAAGGACACTTATGGAAAAGTAAATGACTTTTTGGAATGATAAATGGGTTTTCAGGAGAACAAATAGGAGATAAGAAAGTTTGTGGATAATGTTTGTCTATACTGGTATAAGTACTCTTCCCTCTCCTTCAGGACCATAGACACCCCTGGGAGATTTGGGGTAGGTTTTATTCCCGTTCCTCCTATCTGGAGTAGATCCACCCTGAAGAGGAATTTATGGCAGCCTTATTTCCCAGAAGTTGCTGCTTTTAGTCAGATAAGGGAAGCTCAGAGAAGACGTCTTCTGCATCTATTGAGTCTCAAATATCTTCAACTTAAAATAATCTTTATACCAAAGTGGCATATTTAGGGGTGGCATATTCTAATCCCCTTCAAACATACTAAAAATACACAATTTTATAACTTTTAGCATATATATATATATATATATACACACACACAACAAACCATCATCACAATCAAGACAGTGAACATATCTATCACCTCACAAAAGAGTACTCATGTTTCTTTATAAACATTCCTTCTATGCCACTCCTGCCCATATAGTGTGACTTCCCTGATCATTGCTTCCTGTTACTATAGATTAGTTTGCATTTTCTAGAGTTTTATATCAATGGAATCATACAGTGTATGCTTTTTTTTTTTTTTTGTCTCGCTGCTTTTACTCAACCTTATTTTTAAGATTCATCCGTGTGGCATGACTCTTGTCATTGCTGAGTAGTATTCCACTGTAAGGACATACCACAGTTTATCCATTCAGTTTGTAGATGTACATTTGTGTTGTTTCTAGTTTTTTGGTTATTATACTTAAAACTATGAACATTTGTGTCCAATTTTTATATGAACATGTATTTCTTTTCTCGGGTAAATACACAGGAGTGGGATGGCTAGATAATAAGATATGTTTATGTTTATCTTTTTAGGAAGTCACCAAACTGTTCTCCTAAGTGATTGTATCATTTTAAATTCCCATCAGCAGCATAATAAGAGTCCCAGTTTTTCTTTATCATTGCCAACACTTGATGTGATCAGTTTTAAATTTTAGCTATAAATAGATATGATGTAGTATTTCATTTTGGTTCTAGTTTGCATTTCCCTAATGACTAATGACGTTGAGATTTTCATGTGCTGATTTGTCATTCATATATCTTCTTTGGCAAAGTGTCTATTCACATCTTTTGCCTATTTTTTATTAGATTGCTTTCTTATTGTTGAGTTTTGAAAATTCTTTATATATTATGGATACAAGTCCTTTATAGCTATGTGCTTTGTATAGATTTTCTACCAGTCTGTAGCTTTTGTTTTCATTTATTAATAGTTAATAGTGTCTTTGAAAGAGCAGGAATTCAAAATTTTTATGAAATCCAATTTATTCATTTTATTGTCATGGAACATGCTCTTGGTGTGGTATCTGAGAAGTGAATATCCATTTTTGCATATGAATATCCATTTGTTCTAGCACCATTTGTTGAAAAGGCTATATTTTCCTCTACTGTATTGACTTTGTACCTTTGTAAAAAAAAATCAGTTGTCCGTATATAGGTAAGATTGTTTGTGGACTCTTCTGTATTTACGTATCTTTACACCAACACCGTGATTTCTGTGTGTGTGTGTATGTGTGTGTAAAATAATTCTTAGAAACAGATAGTATTAGCCCTTGAACTATGTTCTTTTTCAAAGATGTTTGGCCCTTCTAGGTCATTTGCATTTTTACCTGAACTTTAGAATCAGCTTGTCAGTTTCTACCAAAACAAACAAACAAACAAAACCTGTTCAAATTTTGATTTGAGATTGCCTCGGATCTATAGCTTAATATGGAGACAATTATATATGAACAACACTGAGTCTTCCAAACCACTAACAAAAGCATATCCTCAAATTCGTTTAGGTTTTCTTTAATTTCTCATAACCATATTTTACAGTTTTCAGTGCACAGGTCTTTCCTATCTTTTGTCAAAATTTTTGGTTAAATTTGACATTTTCAATTCTATTATAAAATTATATTTTAAAGAATTGTAATTGTTTTAGTTGCTAGTATTTAGTAATACAGTAGAGTTTTGTATAATCTTGTTTTCTGCAGCTTTGCTAAACTCATCTATAGTTCTAGTTGCTTTTTTGTAATTTCCATTAGATTATTTTTGTATATAATCTGAAAATAAAAATAATTGTATTCTTTCTTTTCAATTTGGATATCTTTTATTTCCTTTTCTTGCCTTATTGGACTGGCTAGAATTTCTGAGACAATGTTGAATAGAAGCAGTGAGAGCAGATATCCCTGTCTTGTCTTTGAACTTAGGAGGAAAGCATTGATTCATTTACCACTAAATATGATGTTATTCATAGATAACCTTTATCAGGATGAAGTTTACTTCCCTTCCTAGCTATTTTTGAAGCCAGGAATAGATGTTGGATTTTGTCAAATGGTTTTTATGTATTTATGGAAAGCATCATGTGGTTTTTCTTTATTAAAATGATGAATTATATGAATTGATTTTTAATTGAAATTTAGTTCACATAGTATAAAATGCAGTCTTTGAAGTGTATAATTCAGTGTTTTTTTTTAGTATATCCACTGAGTTATGCGACCATTACTACTATCTAATTCCAGAACATTTGGGGAATTTCATTTCCCCCAAAGTAACCCTGTACTCATTAGTAATTACTCCATTTTCCCTCCTCCCACATCCCCTGGCAACCACTATTCTATATTTTGTCTCTGTGGATTTGCCTATTTTTGATATTTCGTATGAATGGAATCATAGAATATGTGGCCTTTTGTGTCTGGCTTCCTCCACTTAGCTTAATGTTTTCATGGTTCTGTGTCAGTTCTTCATTATTTTTATGTCTGTATGATATTCAGTTGTATGAATATGCCACATTTTGTTTCTTCATTTTTCAGTTTATTTTCATGTGGGTTGTTTCCAGTGTGTCACAATTATGAATAAGGCTGAGATTGATTGGTGTGTAAGTTCTTCTGTGGACTGTGTTTTTATTTCTCTTGGGTATATATCTAGCAGTGGAGTTACTGGGTGGAATGGTAGCTCTATGTTTAACGTTTTGAGGGACAAACTGCCAAGTTGATTTTCAAAGGTGCTGTACCATTTTATATTTCTGTCAGCACTGTGTGAAGCTTCTAATTTCTCCTCAGCCTCACCAACAGCTGTTACCATGTGTCTCTTTGATTATAGCCACCCTAGTGGGTGTGAAATTGTATCTTATTTTAGTTTTGATTTGTATTTTCCTAGTGATTAATGATATTGGGCATCTTTTCATGTGTGTATTGGCCATCTACATATCTTCTCTGGAGAAATGTCCATTTAAACCTTTTGTCCATTTAAAAATTGGGATGTATGTCTTTTTATTATTGAATTATAAGAGTTCTCTATATAATTTGCAGACATTTTCTCCCATTCTTTGACTTTTTTTTACTTTCTTAATGGTGTCCTTTGAAGTACAAAAGTTTGATGAAGTCCAATAGATCTATTTGTTCTTTTATTTCTTGGGCTTTTGGTGTCATATCTAAGAAATTATTGCCCAAACCAAGGTCATTAAAGTTTATACCTATCCTTTCTTCTAAGAGTTTTATAGTTTTAGCTCTTATATTTACATCTTTGATCCATTTTTTAAAAATATAGAGTTAGATATGTGTCTAACTTTATCCTTTTGCATGTGGGTATCTAATTGTCCCTGCACCATTTGTTGACTATTCATTCCCTATTAAATTGTCTTGGCTCCTTTGTTGATAATCAACTGGCAATAACTGTAAGGTTTTTTTTCCCCCATTGGACACTCAATTCCATTCCATTGGCTTATATATCTGTCCTCCTGTGAGCATCACATTGTCTTAATTACTGTAGCTCTGTAGTATATTGTGGCATCAGGAAACATGTGTCCTCCAACTTTGTTACTTTTTCACATTGGCTATTCTTGGTCCCTTGTGTTTCCATATGAATTTTAGGATCAGCTTGTCAATTTCTGTAGTGAGACCAGCTCAGATTTTGATAGGGATCATGTTTAATCTGTAGATCAATTTGGGGAGTATAGCCATTATAACAGTTTCAAATCTTCCAGTCCATGAATGTGGGATATCTTTCCATTCATTTATGTCTTATATAATTTCTTTCAAAGATGTTTGTAGTTTTCAGTGTACTAGTCTTGCACTTCTTTTTGTTAGTTATTCTTAAGTATATTTTGATACAACTCTGAATTGTTTTATTAATATCATACTTTCTTCTTAGGTGCATATATGTTTATAGTTCTTACATTTTTCTGCTGGACTGACCTTTGTCACTATGAAATGTCTTTCTCTGGAGACATTTTTTTTCTTGTTTTAAGATATGTTTTGTCTATTACTACTCTGGACATTCTAGTTTTCTTGTGGGTTCTGTTAATATATCTTTTCCCCTCCTTTTACTTTCAGTCTATTTGTAGCTTTGTTTTAATTAATTAATTAATTGGTATATGGTTGATTTACAATATTGTGTTAGTTTCAGTCATACAGCATAGTGATTCTTTTTTTTGCAGATCATATTCCATTATAGGTTATTACAAGATACTGTGTATAATTCGCTGTGCTATACAGTAAATCCTTGTTGCTTATCCATTTTATGTATACTAGCTTGTATCCAACTTATTTGCAGAGGTGGATTTTGACATCGGTGTTTTAGGTTTATTCTGACCTCCAGTGGGTTCTTCCAAGCCGTCTCTTTTTGTGGTTCTTCTTGTCAAACTAGCTGGGCAGGAGTTTAGCTGATGCATCTAATGAAGCTAATCATCTTTTTATTTGCATTTCACCAAAACCTCCATTATTTTTGAAAGCACCCCTACTCTTGAACTTCTCCATGCTCTGTTAAGTACAATCAGTTTCTTTGGGGAGACTTTCTGAGCTCTTTGTTTTATGACCTTTCTCTCCCCCTGGACAAAATCCCTGAGCTCAGACTTGAAGCTGGGAATGGTGCAAGGGTGTGTTTCTCTCCTTGTGACATCTCTGATTTAGGAGCAGGCTGCTGGGTGAAGGTCTGGGATCCCTGTATTCTCAGTGTGCCATGCTTAAAGTGAGTCCATGAATAGGAGCTGGGTAGAGGAAGGGAACTCCCAGCCTCTTGGCCACACTTTCAGGTGCTTAGCCTTGGCATCAAGTAACTGAGGGGAAGCGGGGTGAGAAATGCTGACATTCTGCTTCTCCCAGGAAGATACTGTCACCTTAAGTTGGGAGGTGGGAGGGAGGGAGCACTGTGTTCTGGGCTGCACCTACGTGGCATGGAGTTTCTGTCTCTCTGGCTAAGAGGGACAGGGAAGGCGTAGATTGAGGATTAAATGCTATAGACTCTTTTCTTTTAATTGAAGCCTAGTTTGTTTACAATATCTTGTTTTTTTCTGGTGTACAGCATAGTGATTCAGTTATACATACATATATATATTCTTTTTCATTATAGGTTATTACAAACTATTGAATATATATAGTTCCCTGTGCCATAACAGTAGGACCTTGTTGTTTATCTGTTCTGTATACAGTAGTTTGTATCTGCTAATCCCAAACCCCTAATTTATCCCCCAAGCCCTACTCTTTGG